TTTTGTTTCTATTTTGGGGTTGTTGTAGACTCCTTCAGGTTTATACCATTTGTATATCTTTCCTCCAGAGAGATGCTTATCTATCGTTCAAGTTTGGACATTATTATACCTACGGTATAGAGTTATTTTCTTTTAAACTTCTATAGGGTGGCTGTTAACCGTTTGTTATGACAAACTAATGAAATTTTAGACATAACAGTAGTAAAACTATAAGCACTACTTATAATATTTATTATTCTTATAACACGACTTCATACAAGATTATAAATTTTACTTAGGTACACGATTGAAACTTCAAGTTTTATAGTTACCGTTCAGCAGTTTATTTGTAAAATTATGAAAGAAATAGCCATTACCCCTCCTGATGAGTGCTGTTTGGTACGAAACATGTTTTATTTGCAAAACCTCGTTAATCAGATGAAGTTTATTTTGGATGGTAAGTGAAATTATTTACAGAAAAAAACAGAATGCATACCATTGGCTAATGACTTTGATAAAAAATCCAAAAAATGTAATTCGCATCAGACATTCACACGAATCAGGTAACGAAAATTCAAGCACGTAAGGGATTCCCAAATTAAACTTGTTGCTTGTTTTGTAAAATTGCATTGCGACAAATTTTGAGCTACTAAGTAAACGTCAAATCCCATATCCAAGACAGGATTTTTCAACAATAACGATTTATGATGCTTGCTAGGTATTTGCGGACCGACCTATATTTATGCAAATTCATTTATGCACCCAGATTAACAGAATCTCTATACCTAGATAAATGTTCTTGAAATTTCTGAATCCGTGTATTTTATGGCAGGTAGGTACCAACTAAGGTAAAGGATTATTAGAAGAAAGAAAGGATGACACGCTGTTTTAATCTCAAAGCACCGAAACCGAAGTGCAATATAATTTACAACTGTTGTTTATTCCTAAAAGAATTTAGCCGGTTATTATCATTTTCAGGGAAGGACTTTTTCACAAATGTTTTGCGAATTTTGCATTTTTATTTCAGGAAACAAATGAATAACGAAAAACAATTGAATTTTTTTAAATAGCAATGCACACCTTCATTAGGCTCATTTGATAGGGACTTTGTTTCTCTTTTCAATGACGAAAGCAACACGTTAGCACCCGTGTATAGACATTAATTTTTATTTTAAGTTTTTGTGATAGGTTATGCCACTGTCTTGAAGTTAATGGTGAACATTTTGCAATGAAAACTAATTTACTGCTAATTTCGTGTTGTTTTCAAGGTTTAATAAGAAACGTTCATTTGTTTTATTTGATGTATGATTTCTGGATTAATGTTATTGATTTAAGTGTAATAAATTTTTTTGAAAAATTTTCTTGAATAAGGGTATACTAATATGTTATATCATCGAAATGAGAAAAAAAATCTCTATCAAATTAGCCTAATGAAAAGGTGCACTGCCAATCAATTGTTTTTCGTCATTCATTTGTTTTCTGAAATAAAAACAACTGAATGCTGCCTCATTATGGGAAATAAAATGTCAAACAACGTTCATAATATAGAAAATTTTTTATACATTCGATATTTACAGAGATACATACTATGTTCCATACATAATGGGCACCCTGTGTATATTTTTTTCTAAACTACCAGGAAAGATGGGAACCTCTTATTTTACGAAAAAACAAATTATCATTTGGAACGTGTTGTAAGAGGTAAGATATTTATGCATTGTTTTGAATTTGTAGAGAAACAATTATTTTATACAGTTGGTATGAAGATTTTTTAATTTTAATATTAGTAGAGGTGCACCGCTCCATTTCGGGTTAATAGTATCAAATTTGTACCATGAATAGAATGTTTCTGTATGATCATTTTCAGATGAGATTGGTCTGATTCGTCCCCCGTGCGCAGGGGGAGGGGGGCGGGGTACGAATCTCGATCATTGATTTCATTATTTCCTTACTGATCAGTTAATGCTACTAGGATTTGTATGGTAACGTTTTCAAGGAATTCATTCTTAATGCGCAATATGATTGTATATGATTCCATACAGAAAATTCATATTTTCCGTTACTAAAGGAAGAGCAAATGCTGGCTAATGTTTTATTTACGAAGGGCCATGCACCTGCCTTTCTTTACAGTTTACAATTACAGTCCGAAAAAAATTCTGAATCATTGTTCACGGAGGGTAAATATAGGTGAAAAATCTGCAGAAATATTTGCAATATACCTACAAAAATTAACAATCCGAGGAAGAACTCTTGAATTTGAATAATTTAAATCTGACTTCAAATTAACACAAAATTTGATATGTTCAAAAGTAACTAACTCAAGTAGATTTAAAAGCAACTCCACTCCTTTCCCATTTGTGGAAAATAACATTCCGAAGTCTCTTACATAAAGTAAATGAAATACTTTGTTAATTAGCGGGACCTTCTCCAATCAAGAAGGTACCTATCTGGAGGTTCAGAATACCTCCAGTTCAGGCGGCGATTTCTTGTTAATTTCTGTGAATACCTATAGTTTTAAAATGGCTTTGTATAAGGGCAAGTGATCATTCATCATACCTACCGGGGCCGTGTAATTAACAACGTTAGGGACGAGGATATATAATGTGAGGTCAGCGACATCTGGGTGCCATCCCCGAGCGTGTTAAGCAAACGTGGTGATTTTTCACTTTTTTCCTATTTTCATCTACAGTTTTGATCCGATTGTTTTCAAATCAATCATTTCACATCTCTCAATTTGAGCGGGTTTTTAAAACTCGTAGTAAATCATGTTTTAAATTTGCGACAGATCCAGTCTCAGTAAATTTTGCAATAAGGGTTAGGACATACCTTATCCATATGCCTGTATTCGTTAAACGTTGCACCAGTTTGCCGAGCACATTGATTTTCGGCTCACCTAAAGTATAAACCTTTTTTGTTAAATTACTTCAACTGGTAACACTAAAAATGAATTCAATAAATAAAAACAACGAAAATACAATTATACTGTTTAACTGTGCATATTTGGGTCCTTAAAAATGTAAAATTATTTTTCTAAATATCTCGATAACGGATCGGTCGTTTTTAAAAAATAAAAATCTCCCGCGGGAACAAAGGGTGATAGGGGGCGAGTCAATTTTTTAATAAAAAGTTGTCCCCCTCTATAACATTGTCGATATGTTTCGGGATTCCTTTACAAAATACACAGATCTCGAAATATAGTGAGAAGTTTTGAAATGAACACCCTGTATGTACATCTGTAAATATACAGGCTGATTCAAATTCGAAGGTCATCATGGGGATCTCGGAAACTGTAAGAGATTTTGAGAATTTTTGAAATAATGCAAAAAAATTAAAAAATCGTCCACGGTTAGGTAATACTGAACTGAAAACACATTCGTCATGACTGTCACGAGATAATTTTGGCTATTTTCTAATACTTCCTAAACATACAGGATGCCTCACATCGAGTGTGGGTTCTTTGTCATTATCGAATTTAAAAACCGAATAATATTAATAGTTAATTAAACAAACCGACAAACGCCAATTTAAAAATAATTAAATATCTCTGTAATTATAAAAGTTATGAAAAAAATGTGTTTCACACTTTTAACAGGACACACTCAAAAATGATGTCAAAATAAAATTCAGGATAACGGATACCGACATATTAATAACTGTTTTTCAATGTACAGGTATGTCATTGGATTTAAAAAAAGGCTTTTTTATTTTATTTTTAAGAAATATCAGATATCTTATGATTAAATAAAAAATATAGTAAAATTAATTATTTTTACATCATAATGAAGTAGGCCGAGTTATTAATCATTCTTTAGTCGATCATAGGTTAACTTTTATTATAAATAAAGAATAAAATAAACACTGTTTAACCATTTCAAAAGTCAGTATGTTGACGAGGTATATTTGGATGACTAAAAGATGTTTTTTTTAAAATTCTTTATTTAATGATTAGCCATCCAAAAGTATTTAATTAACTTATACAGTGATCAAAAATATGATCTCGGCCTGTTTGATTAATATGTGAAATTAGTAGATATTCTTTTTTTTAACCCTGTGAAAATGAAATATGGCACCCATTTAAGAAAAATATCAGTAACCGCCATCTTGAATTTCATTTTGACATCATTTTTGAGATTTTCCCATGAAAGAGAGAAACTTCATATTATCTGTTTTGATATCTTTTATAATAAATGCATAATTATATTTAATTTTTTGTAAAAGGGCGCGTTTGTGCGCAAAGTTACTCAGGCATAGTTTCTTGATGTGGGGCACCCCGTGTTCTTTGGGTCGATTTTTTAAACCTTTTTTTGACAATTATTGAAATAATCAAAAAAATTAAAAGAATTATCCATGGATAGGTACATATAGGCTACAGTTAATGATATCTAATTGAAAATGCATTGTACCTACGGCAATTTTGAGAAATGAGAAAACTATTTTTGCATACATTAGGTACCACCGGGTCTATTAACAGGTCGTAGGTGCTTAAATAATCCGCTCCTGCTTGCAGTATTTTTGAAGCTACACCCTCGTCACTCGCTATCTCTTTATCATTTATTCAACAATTCTAATAAAAGCAAGTTGTACACTGTACAGTCGCCGCACTCGCGCGAGTGGCTAAGGCGTATAGCACCATCTTTAAGTTGGGCTGCGAATATTTGTTAAAAATCTCGACGCATTGTTATTAAAATGAATAAATATGCTAGAATACGAAGATATCTATTCAATTTTACCGAAATGCATTACGAATATAACTGAAAGCGCTACCTCTACCCTATAACTGAAATGTTACAAGTATTAAATAAATCCGTCGCCATTATTCAGACGTTGCATTAAATATTGATTTTGTTTTGTTTTCCACCTCGAGTGTAGGAAGGTACTTCCACCTACCTAATAATTGCGAGGTTGATTTAGGTACATTTGAACTAAAATACGCGTCACCGTTCCTCTTAATAGATTACATCGGCGGTAGGGTAGGTATTCTTAAGCGCAAAGTCAATTATGTGTATATCTAAAAGACCAACCTTGTATCCTCCATTTGTAAGGCCCGCATTCCTTTTGGCGAGCACACATTTCATGCGCAGAAAAAAGATGCGCTCGCTTTCGTAGTCCTGGTTGGGCGAAGTTCCAGGAGGCGGCATCGACGGGCTTAGGACCGCTGTCATCTCGTCATGATCGGCGGGGGGGATATACTCGTATATGCTATTACCTGTCAGTTCTACCTGAAAAATAGATTCATATAGAAACACGAATACCTATACGTTTTCTTTACTAGGTACATAAATTACACCCCTTCGCATCGATTCTATGCGCCCTTTTCGTAGTGCGAATTAATTTCTGACTAGACTGGCAAAAATTTACCCGCCATTCTGTCGTTGTGTATTTTCAGTTAATTAAGACATAATTATATCAAACGTTAATAGTATTTTACGTGAATTTCAATAGTAGTTCAAAAGTCCCAGTAGACTGTGGTAAAACGATTTTTACAAAGGCGTTTAAAATACATATTTTAAAAGAACGCAGAAGGAAGATAATGTTTGCTGCATATTCCGATGCAGGTAGTTATTGGTACACATAAGACAGAAACTCTCTCTTTCTTTTTCTAAAAGTGCAAGTACCTATATGCAAGTTTTTGAGAGCATGAAACCCGTTTTATACTATTTGGTTATATACTTAACTACTACTCGTATTATATCGTATAAGCTTTCTATGAATCCGATTTATACATGGTATGTGTAATATGTACGAAGATAGCAACTTTTGTAGATATTCTTTCATCTGTTTTAATTTATTATAATTAAATAATAGGTATACCTTTACTTGCCTACTTCTATATGAAAAAAGACTGCAGTAGGATAGGTATTCGTATTACGTACCTACTTCCGAACGAGAATGAGAAAAAAATAGATTTTTCTAAAGTAATGGTAAATGGTACCTACACATTTCGATAATTTTTTTTGCTATTTTTTCAAATTTTGTAGAGATTGAACCTCGGATTGAACCATCCCTCCAAAAGGCTACCACTTTGCCTTGCACTCAGACAAAATGATAAGAACTAAAAAATTAGATACCTACCTAATACTGCCCATAGGTATTTGATAAGTTTCAATATTATTTTAAGCATCGGTTATCTTTTGAAGAGCTTATTCAAAATTTTGTTTTGTTTTTTGAAAAAAATACACAGTTTACTAGATGATGGGTGAAAAACAGATTTAATGATTTTTCTTTTAAATGTTGTAGAAAGCTTAGCGAAATACGGAAATATGCAAAGAACAAAAATTGTAGATTTTTTGCGCTTATAAGATACATTTATCGTTTATAATTATAACGCAAACTTAAATTTTTTAAATGGTAACCATAGTTGGCTGTGACATTTTTAAAAAGTGCATTTTTTTCTGTTTAAGATTCATTCTACTTACAAATAAACGTGATACAGAACTGTTTGTATTATTAAGAGTAGTAAAAACAGAGTTTGCCATGGGAAACATTTTTGTCCTCTCAATTCCTCATGTCAAGTATAATATTTAACTTAAAACTTTAGGGACATATAAATTTAATGTCAAAAAATTAATCTGTTTCGGCATCAAATGTTTAAAATGTCCATCCATAATTAATATTTACACACAAGCAGCATTTTTTTGCGATAGAATTTACAGCTTTCCGTATTATCCTACCATCTAATTTGCGAAAGGAATTTACCACAGCATCACATAGTTCTTCTTTTGTGGCATACGTTCGCTGATAAATTAAACCCTTTTAGAACACCGAAAAGAAAAAAATGTAAAATTGAAAGATCTGGTGATCTTGGTGACCAAAGGACCGACCCGTTTCTACCTATCCATGAATTTGGAAATAGTTGGTTTGGGTGTTCTCGTATACCTATACTTGTAGTTGGTTGTGCGGCGGGGCACCGTTGTGTTGAAACCAGCGTAAATTACGTCGTGTTTCCAAATCTAACCCATACTACATATCTTGAAATTCATTTGGTAGAAAATGAAGATAACGTTGGCCTGTCCAAGAATTCGCGATTCAATAATTCCGCACCAAACATTAAATCCAAGTTTTCTTTGACGCCTTCAAGAATGAACAGCAGTATTTCCATGGCATGATACGATCTACTTTTAATAGTGTAATGAATATGATTATTAATTCCACTTTCATAGTGAATTTTCGAAGATGACTTTTGAATATGTCAAATGTGCCACAGTTACACTATTACCTATCTCACTAGATATTGTTTTCCATGGCAAACTCTGTTTATTTACCTCTCACGAAAATTCCTGCAGTTATACACTGCCTTTTTTTGAGCCCCGAAAAAAAAATAATTTCAAAAAGTTCCAAGATTGGGCTACTAGTTCAAAAGTTACAGTCCTTTGAATTTTCTTTCGAAATTGGTTTCTAGTCTATAACTTGATTGCGAAGTCTGATCGAAAATGTACGAATTGTTTTGGATTCTACGCACCAAAATTAATAAGAAAAAGTGTTTTCCCGAGAAATTCTGGTGTAATCGATTTTTGGTAAAAAAGGAAGGTTATACACTGCCTTTTTTTGAACCCCGAAAAAAAAATTCTCAGATCGACCCGGAAAAAAATTTTCTTATAGAATGTGGCCTGTAGAATCCATAATTTCAAACAGTTCCAAGATTGGGCTACTAGTTCAAAAATTACAGCCCTTTGAATTTTTTTTCGAAATTGGTTTCTAGTCTATAACTTTTGATTGAGAAGTCTGATCGAAAAAGTACGAAATTGTTTTGGATTCTACGCACCCAAATTAATAAGAAAAAGTGTTTTCCCGAGAAATTTTGGTGTAGTCGATTTTTGGTAAAAAAGGAAGGTTATACACTGCCTTTTTTTGAGCCCCGAAAAAAAAATTCTCAGATCGACCCGGAAAAAAATTTTTCTTATAGAATGTGGCCTGTAGAATCCATAATTTCAAACAGTTCCAAGATTGGGCTACTACTTCAAAAGTTACAGCCCTTTGAATTTTCTTTCGAAATTGGTTTCTAGTCTATAACTTTCGATTGAGAAGTCTGATCGAAAAAGTACCAATTGTTTTGGATTCTACGCACTAAAATGAAAAAGAAAAAGTGTTTTCCCGAGAAATTTTGGTGTAGTCGATTTTTGGTAAAATAGGAAGGTAGTGCAGCGCGTTTATTTATTAAAGTACGTTTAGCAAGCCTTATATCGTTATTATAGGGAGAAAAATTTGTCCTTTTTAAAAATGCCAAAGCCAACGCCGACCTGCGTAGCTCAGAAGAGCTTACGTTAGAAGCTCTAACTTTGGCTACAAGGGTCCTGGATTCGAATCCCAGGTAAGGCATGGCTGTTTGTGATTCTATAGTGGGTTGAGTGGGAAAAGTAGCAAATTGCTAACACTCCGCCCACTATAAAAAAAAAAAATAAATAAAGGCAATAAAAAGGCAACTATGACTACCATTTAAAAAAATTAAAGTTTGTATTATAATTATAACACAACATCATATTCATCAGATTAATCATTAAAATGTCTAAAACTTTTATTCGTGTCATTTTGTTGTATTTTTAATAACAACGATTCTATAGGCGATTCTACCATTAAATGAAAAATCACTAAATCTGTTTTTCGCTCATATCTAGTAAACTGTGGATTTTATTAAAAATACAAAAGCATAATAAGCTCTTAAAACGACAACTCTTTCCTCATTTAACCGAATCTCTATGTCTGTTATATATGGTTTCCGAGATCCCAATGCTTAAAATGAAAAAAAATCACCCTGTATTTCCTTCAGAAGGAAGGTCTTTTATCTGGAATTGTCTTAGAAAGCTCTGGTAAGGGTCTGGAAATGATCTAGAGCTCAGAACAATCTAACGGTCTAGCAAGGTTTGAACAAGGTTTAAAAAAACGGAAAAGTTCTCAAAATCGCTTAGAGTGTGTTCAAAATGCTCTAGAAATCACCAAGATTGTTCTACAAAGTATTGCTATGTTAAGCCTTTGAATGATTTACTGTCGAAAAACTTCGTTTTCTTTAGTGGTTTTTGATGTTTCTTCAGATTATGTGCCTTCAACGGCACAAAGAATTCAGTATCTCCAAGTTACCATTTACTATTAAGACATTTATTTAAAAGGTTAAAAATATTGCACTGGCAGTCTATCTCTATAGCAATATTTATGGGTGTCGTTGAGTTTTTTTTCATTTTAAGCATTAGGATCTCGGAAACCGTAAGACATACAGATTCGGTTAAACGAGAAAAGAGTTGTAGTTAGAAGAGCTTATTCAAGATATGCTTTTGTTTTTTAAAAAAAAATCCACAGTTTACTAGATATGAACGAAAAACAGATTTAGTGATTTTTCATGGTTCAACTGTTGTAGTACTCATAAGTAGGGTAGATTTAATGAAGTTTTCCACTTGTAAATATTATATTTTACGGAATATTGCTTAGAGGGTCTCAATTGGTATATGTATTTTAAAATAAGAGTATACACCCCAAAAATTTCGGAATGTATCAGCTGCGGTGTCCGAGTGGTTAAGGAGATGGACTTGAAATCCATTGGGTTCTACCCGCACAGGTTCGAATCCTGTCCGCAGCGCATTTTTATATGATTTTTGTTATTTAGGCAATGCTAACAATTTGTTAGTAATTAATTAACAAGTGTATTATTGAGTTCGGTAATCATCACAAATTGGTGCTTTTCTTTCAAATCATTTCATTAATATGATGTTTAATTGTCGCAAAGAAAATCCTTGTGCACAATATACAGGGTGGTGACTTGCGTAACGCATCATAGGGATTTCAATGTAAAATTCATAACATGCGATTATTGGCTCCCCAAATTATTTTAGAGCAAAAATGTATTAAGGTTTTTTGTGGAAAAAGATTTTTTTACGTTAATCAACTGTATTAGTTTTCACATTTTTGCATAATAAAGACGGAAAATTGGAAAAATAAAACCCCCATCTTTTTCAATAATCTGCGATGCCATGGAATTTTCTAAAACAAAAAGATATCCAGTTATCAATTAGCAGCAGTTCGAAATGGATTTTATGATCGACTTGGTTACTGTCTTGCAGTTAGTGGTGACTTATTCGAACATTTATTTGTAAATTGTTATATTAGGAAACCGTTTTTAGTAATTTGCTCTTTCTTTATGTTGAATTCGCTGTTCTAAATATAATACTTTTTGATAAAATTTGATTTGTTTTATATAGACACATTCCATGGCATGACGGATATTGGCGTACCTAGAAAATTCCATGGCATCACAGATTATTGAAAAAGATGCGGGTTTTATTTTTCCAATTTTCCGTCTTTATTATGCAAAAAATTGAAAACTAATACGGCTGATTGACGTAAAAAATTTTTTCTACAAAGAACTTTAATACAATTTTGCTCTAAAATAATTTTGACATCGGTAGGACAGGAAATTCAGCTATGGCGCACGTTTAGACAGCACACAATCGTTAGATAAAATGTTTTTTCATTGACACAATGGAGAACAATACAGGTCTCCAATTTAATGAACGATTGAACAAAAACCAACCAAACGTGTTAAGAAGAAAATGGCAAAGGAACAATTAAACAAACCTGTGACAATCCCAAATGAACGGAGGCTGTTTCTGATATGTACATTATTTTTCCATCAGGTGCAACGACAAATATAAATCCGTCTAGCGTTTGAAGAAGATATGAACCTAACTCCTTAATGGGAGTTTCTCTGGAATTGGTTACAGGTGGTGCTGCGCCCCATGCATCTCCCAAACCTGTAACAAACGTACACATTATTTTTCATTGTTTCAATATTAAATAATCAACCGAAAAACACTATCATTGCGCATGCATGTTCTGCCCAAAAGTTTTTCAGCTCTTCCTTTTATGTCTAAGAATATGTGCACCAAATTTAGTTCAACCGGTGCAGCCGTTCAGCCGGAAATGAGAGTATAGACAAACAGACCGACATCATCGAGATTTTCTTTGATTCTGTATCCTAGTGTTGCTGGGGTATTTCCGTAAAAAAAGTGAGGGGGGGGGGCGTTTTTTACCCCAATCAATACTTCCCTTACTAACGTGCGGGTGGGAAAAAATACCTGATTGGAAATAGTAACTATGTATAAAAACGAACAAAACGTGGCAACAGAATAAATAATTTAACGATAATCAACGGTCCCCTCTCATTTATAACTTTTCAAAATAGTCATATTTTTATATATAAAATTTTTCTGTACGTGTGTCTGTGATTGAACACCTAAACGGCTGGAGGGATAGTGCATTGATCGGGACGGGGACAACTTCCAAAAATTCTGTAATTGGTTGCAATAAAATGAGGTGTACTATGTAAAAAGTATTGGTTAATTTATTTCGGATTTTGCCTTATTTTCATTTCCAAATTAACGGAGGTCGTAGGAAAAAGCTTTATATCAAAATCCTCAAATTGAAAATTCAATTTTTTAAATTTTTATTAAAAAGGGCGTATGCCCGGCATCATAACCATCAGTAAATTATAGGTAATTTAATTATCTACATTCTACAACTTTGAGTATAACTTTTTTTCTAGCTAAAATGCACCGAAACGAATCTATGAGCGAGAATCTGAAGAAAGTTCCAATTTTTGTTCGGTTTTTTCAATATGAAGGCGAGAACGGAGGAAGAGGAATTGTGTCGAATTGAAGCGGCAGAGCAATGGAAGCTTTATAGGGGAGTCGATGGTGTTCGTCTGTCGGTCGTTGAACACGATAATTGCCAAATGCTTGGGTCGATTCGGTTCACACTTTTCACAGTTGACCTATACAGTGTGATTGATTTTGATGTGCGTCCAAGCGTATCTTTCCTTTATTATTGGAGATAGAAAAAATACTCCACTTTCAAACTCTGATAAAACTACATATTCGGAGAAAACAAGTGATATAAAAACAAAAGAGCATCAGAAAACAAAATATTCTTTTGTAATAGAACGGTTACTTTTTTCTGCAATATTCTTAAAAAACTTGAAATTCTCTTTATAATAATGACAATATGTTATAATTACCTTAGAAATTAAAGCTACAGTAACGTTTTTAAAACCAATCGTAGTAACTGTGGAAATTTAAACAAAAACAAAAGAGAGTTTTCCATTTGTCATATATGTTACATAACACAACAATATAACTTATAAGAACCACAATGCAACAAAATAACAATTACACAAATGATGAAAAAATGTTAAGAGGTGTAATGTAATGATAATACATAGGAAGCAAGTACAGTATGGTATCCAATTTATGAGTTGTTTAGGAGCTTTTCATATCACAAGCTTAAAATTTTAGAGCTCGCTTAAATCACTAGGAGTCACTAGTGTATTTAAATTTAATGTAATAATAATTATTATTTCTGTAACTGCTTTTCATTTTGTTTTCTTTGCTTCCTGTTGTAAATTTTATGTTTTTGTTTAAATTTCCACAGCTACTGCGATTGGTTCTAAATACATTACTGTAGCTTTAATTTCCAAGGTAATTATAACATATTTGATGTCATTGTAAAGCGAATTTCAAACAAGAATATTACAGGCAAAAGTAATTGTTCCATTAAAAAAAAATTCATTAATTTTCTGATGCTCTTTTGGTTTTATATCACTTGTTTTTGAATATGTAACTTTATGTAGAGTATTTTTATTTCTTACACATTTTTCTTTTCAATCACACTGTATACCACATGTAACAATTCGATTAAAAATGGGTCAAATCCAATAACCCCATAGGGTCACATCGAAGTGCTCTGCCGCTTTTTTTAGATCCGCTTTAGAGGTTTATTTTGTATTTATGTTTGTTTTTTTAAAATTAATTCATTATCAGTTCATCCAAATTTAATGTATTTTGTATTTTGTGTATGTTGTATTTTTGTGAAGAGAATTTTATGGCCTTTAAAATGATGTGTAACTCGATGGAGAGTGCATATTGTAACTTTTAGTGGTGGTAGCTGATGGTGCGGGGGTTAAAACTAAGGTAAACTATCCATTAACTAGGTACCGTAATGGTCGTGTTTTCGCAATTTTTATTTTTGTTATCTATCTATGGTTGGTTGTGAAATAGAAGGTCTGCATCTACTTCAATTGGAATATACAGGGTGGGTTTTGTTTCCATTTTAAGCATTGGTACCTATCTCGAAAACCATAAAACATACAGAGGTGTCGTTTTAAAAGTTTACTTAAGATATGCTTTTGTTTTTTGAAAAAAATCCACAGCTTACTAGATACCTATTAGCGAAAAACAGATTTAGTGGTTTTTCATTTAACTGTTGTAAAATCGTTATTACCTATTAGACAAAATGACACGAACAAAAGTTTTAGATGTTTTAATGCGTACATGATGAACATATACTAATTTCCTTTTATATTTTTTTAGTGATAATACAAACTTTAATTTTTTAAATGGTGGTATAGTGACTTTGAGATTTTTAAAAAGGACAATTTTTTCTCTTTATAACGATATAAGACTTTCTAATAAAACGCGTTACAGGAATTTTCGTATTATTGAGAGGTACCTAAGTAAACAGACTTTGCCATGAAAAACAATATCTCCAATATCTAGTGAGATACGTGATAATGTAACTGATGTGACACATTTAACATATTTAAAATCCATCTTCGAAAATTCACTATGAAAGTGAAATTCCATATGTTACCGTCAATGTTAGAAAAACGTTAATGTGCATATTGACGGATTAATCGGCAGAAGTCCGAAATTTCCTTTCAATTAGTAGCAATCTGTAGATTACCTAGTTAATATGCACATTAGCGTATTCTAAATTGTTAAAGTGCGAAAACTTGGATTTAATGTTTGGTGCGGAATTATTGGATCGCGAATTCTTTCATTTACGACGAAAATTGGACATGTTTCTTCATTTTCTAGCAAATGAATTTCAAGATACCTAGGACAAGTACATTTGGAAACACGATGTAATTTACGTTAGTTTCAACACAACGGTGCCCTGCCGCACAATCAACTATAAGTACGAGACCACCTAAACCAACTATTGCCAAATTCATGGATAGGTAGGAACTGGTCGGTCGTTGGGCCAGATCTTTCAATTTTACATTTTTTCGTTTCGGTGTTCTAAACGGATTTAATTTATCAGCGAACGTATGCGACAAAAGAAGAACTACGTGATGCTGTGGCAAATGCCTTTCGCAATTTAGATGGTAGGATAAGATAATACGGAAAGCTGTAAATTCTATCCTGACAAGATGCCATTTGTGTATAAATATTAATGATGGACATTTTGAACATTTTCCGAGATTAATTTTTTTACACGTAATTACTTCAAAGTAGAAATTTAAATGTAATACAGGGTGTTTTTTTGGGAGCTTTAGTTAAACGTTTCTGGGAAAGTAAAATAGGTAGGTTTTTGAAATTTTGTACTTAGGAGTTACTCTGAAGGCCGAATCGATGTAAAATATTTTCAAAATGGCCGCACTTCCGGAAACACCGGAAGTAGATAGTAACTTCGTTATTTTAAATGGCGACCCATATTTTTATTGGATTTTTGGTTTCTACGTTAAGTTTCAGTTCTTTTGATACCCATATGTCGATATCTGCCATTTATGGTTTTTAAGTTATTTTGACTTTATGAAAAAAAAAATGGCGGATGCAGATGGTACCTTGATAATCGATTACTTGAAAATGGTTATAGTCATGGCAACCCATTTTTATCAGCGCCTAGAGAATGAATAGGGCTTTCTTTTAGTGTATTTAAAAAAAGTTAAGTTGCATACAACCGCATGTTTTTACTATTGCATGAGATAGAGAATCGAAATTGGCATATTTTGATATTACATGTTCCTATAGCTATCTTTAACAGTTTCTGATTTATTCCCATTTCATTGAATTAATGCGATTTTGTTCGTATTTTCTTTTTAGTAGTTGGCCATGATTTTATAACAATCCAATTTTAAACAAATCAAGGAATGGATGCGTTAATATCATTGATTCTAGTCTAAATGATTCATTAATAAATAAGTTTTTTGTTAAGGATATAGGACGGAAAATTTTTGAAAAATCTAGACAGAGTCGTTCAACTGAATTTCTTAAACAACGCATAAGTCTGGAAATTAAGAGAGGTAATGCGATATCTGTTCTAGCAACAATTCCATACCAAAACTGTTTCAACGAAGTTTTTTATATTTTGCATTGAATTTATTTTGTTAATCTTGCATTTGCAATTCAATTCATTCTCTTAAATATTCTCTTGTAGAGCTTTGTATCACTTGTGCTTCAACGGTTTGTAGTGCATTTGGGGGTACAAAATTTCTAAAATTCATACAATTTCGTTCCAGTGTTCGAATGAATGTACGGCAAGCAAGTGCCGCGATTCTGTCCATTTCACCATAAATAACAATTAAATTCCAAAATAGGTGAAACCACTGCCAGACATTTTTCGATTTTTTAAAACTTATGTTAACCTATAACAGTAGGTGACGGATTGGTGTCACTAGATTTGTTTAAAATTCGATTGTTATAAAATCATGGCCGATTACTAAAAAGAAAATACGAAAAAAATAGTGTCAATTCAATAAAATGGGAATAAGTCAGAAACTGTTAAAGATAGCTATAAGAACATGTATTGTCAAAATATGCCCATTTCGATTCTCTATCTCATGGAATAGTAAGAACATGGTCATTCTACTTAAAAAAACTGAGTTTTTAGTCTTTGAAGTTTCATAAATTTGGATATCCATAGGGGCGGTCGTACGCAACTTAACTTTTTTTAAGTACACAAAAGAAAGCCCTATTCATTCTCTAGGCACTGATAAAAATGGGTTGCCATGACTACAACCCTTTTCAAATAATCAATTATCAAAGTACCATCTGGATCCGCCATTTTTTTTCTTAAAGTCAAAATAACTTAAAAACCATGAATGGCAGATCGACATATGGGTATCAAAACAACTGAAATTTCACGTAGAATTCAAAAATGCAATAAAAAATAGGGGTTGCTATTTAAAATAACGAAGTTACTATCCGTTTCCGGAAGTGCGGGCATTTTGAAAATATTTTACATCGATTCCGCCTTCAGAGTAACTCCTAAGTACAAATTTTCAAAAAACCTACATATTTTACTCCCAAAGCTCCCAAAAAAACACCCTGTATAGTTCGTAATTTCTTTTTGTTGTTGTTCTATTGGTGACCCTATAAAGTTTTAAGTTAAATATTGTAATAGACTGAGTAATTAAGAAGTAAGTACAACGAACCTTGTATCACTGTAAACAGAAAAAAATGCACTTTTTAAAATGTCACAGCCAACTATGGTTGCTATTTAAAAAATTTAAGTTTACGTTATAACTCGAAAATTATAATAGAAGAATGAAAATTAATAAATGTATCTTGTTAAGCGGAACAATTTTTGTTCTTTGCATATTTCTGTATTTCTAATGCTATAACTAACGATTCTAAAACATTTAAAAGAAAAATCACTAAATCTGCTTTTCGCTCGTATCTAGTAAACTGTGGATTTTTTCAAAAAACAAAAGCATATCTTGAATCAGTTTTTAAAATTATAACTCTTTCCTTTCCTCTTTTAACCTTTTTATCTCTACGGTTTCCGAGATCCTAAATGCTTAAAATGAATAAAAAAAACTCACCCTGTACAAAAGTAATAAATTTTCGAACATTTTACAATTAAATTGGGCTTAAAATAACTTTTTAGATAAAAGTGATTTCAGTTTCTTAGATCGAATGGCAACAGTTTTAATATGCGGAGTTTCAAGACAATTTTATATGCAATACAGCAAATTTATGCCTTACTGTTACCACCTTTTCTAGCATATGGGGAATCGTTGCGATCCACAAAAGGCACTTTTTACCCTTAATGGCATAATTTAGTGTTTATAGAAGAAAAAGTTTTGGCGTGTTGCATCGAATTTTGGAAATGATTTTTTTTAATCTGGAGAAAAATCGTTTAGTAGGGGAGCTAGCACGAAATCCACTGAACGAGAATGATCAAAATTTTAACCGATGGAGTTCCATTTTGCCCTATCAGAGTATGCTAAAATCGATCGTCTACCGCCTCAGGTCATATGACTTAAGGCGCTGCGGGTACTTCTTGCGGTACCAATTCTGAAAGGTTGTTTTTCGAGAAAATAAGTTATACACCTAATGAAAACGTTGATAATAGCTCTTAAAAAAATATTTAAAAAAATCGCGCACATTTGATAACTCCGTAAAAAAACAATTCTTAGTCGGTTTTTCACGAACTTTCTACGGATATAACTAGGTTACGGTTAGACGAATGAAGCTGATTTTTTCTACAGACTGATGATAGGTACTACTAATGACTTAACGGTGTTTCGTTTTTAAATTTGTTCTCTAATTATAAGATTATCTTATCATCTTAACATTATAAGATATCTTATAATTAGAGAAAAAATTTAAAAAAGAAACACTCTCATAGTCATTGGCTGTGCCCATCATTAGTCTGTAAAAAAAATCAGCTTCATTTATCCGACAGTAACCTAGTTATAACCGTAGAAAGTTCGTGAAAAACAGACTAAGGATTGTTTTTTTACGGAGTTATCAAATGTGCGCGATTTTTTTAAATATTTTTTTAAGAGCTATTATCAACGTTTTCATTTGGTGTATAAGTTATTTTCTCGAAAAACAACCTTTCAGAATTGGTACCACAAGAAGTACCCGCAGCGCCTTAAGTCGTATGACCTGAGGCGGCAGACGATCGATTTTAGCATACTCTGATAGGGCAAAATGGAACTCCATCGGTTAAAATTTTGATCATTCTCGTTCAGTGGATTTCGTGCTAGCTCCCCTACTAGTTGATTCTATACATTGACAGAGTTTTTGAAAATGTTTTATCTTGCAACTTTATGGAACGCCGTTTTACTTTTTATTACGAAAGTTTACAATGTAACATTATAAACAACAGTTAATTTTATTTCCCGATTTATTATGTTTGTTGTTTTTATGTGAAACATTAAATATGTTTGTTTAAAAAACTTCACTTAATTGAAATGATGTATGAATTATATAGCAATGTGTATAACGAAAGTTTAACAATACAAATCAAAAAACGAATACATAAACGAACAGTAATATAACTAACTAGAACTAATTCAACAAACATAAAAATTTATTCATATTAAATGTGGGATTAAAATTATGAACAAACATTTTAATTCAACAATCATATTAATTCAATTATTGAAGTGTTGTACAAATATTCCCAACAATCATTTTAATTTAACAATCATATTAATTCGTGCTGTTAAAATCGGAAAGCATTATTTAAAATGATTGTTGAATTAAAATGTTACATGAATTAAAATGTTTGTTGATAATTTTAATTCGTATTTGTGATTGTGCGGAAGTTTCAGGAACTATCCTTTAGTGTATTTGGGTACGTGTATACTAGCGCCTAATTAAAATTATCAACAAACATTTTAATTCATGTAACATTTTAATTCAACAATCATATTAATTCAACAATCATTTTAAAAGATTCTTTTACTACGTCTAACAATAAAAATTTATTTGTTTGTTGAATTAAAGTGATTGTTGAAAATATTCGGCTTCAATTTTCAAATCGTCGAATTTATATGACTGATGAATTAAAATGTTTGTTGATAATTTTAATTCCACATTTAAAATGAATGAATTTTTACGTTTGTTGGACAAACTCGTTTTATTAATCGAAGTATTTCTTGCAATTAAATTTAATTGTTTGTTATTAATTGTTTGTTGAAATACAGTTTCATATACACTCATTCAATATAACAATATAATTCATTTCACATTTTTATTAAGTAACATTTTTTAAACAATCATATTTAATACGTAAAACAATAACAACAAACGTAAAAAGTAGAGGCATACGATTGACTGTTATTTAAAATGGCACATTGTAAAATTTTGGAATAAAATTGTACAAATATTTTCAGAGAACATTTCAATTCAACAATCATATGAATTCATGCTGTTAAAATCGGCAAGAATTATTTAAAGTGATTGTTGAATTAAAATGTTACATTAATTAAAATGATTGTTGATAATTTTAATTCGTATCTCTGATTGTGCGGAAGTTTCGGGAACTACAGTTTAGTCTATTTGACTACGTGTATACTAGCGCCTAATTAAAATTATCAACAAACATTTTAATTCATGTATCATCTTTATTAATCAACATTTTTTTTATCAATCTCTTAATACGTAAGATAAAAACAACAAACGAAAAATTTAGAGACATAAGATTGACTGTTATTTAAAATGATACATGATAAAATGTTGGTATAAATACTAAAACGGCGTTCCATACAACTTACAATGGACGAGGTTCAGCCCGAATTAAAATAAGAATGCGAGTATGAGGACCAAACACAACATAAAAAGATGTTTATCTCTTAACGAATTAAGAAGCAATTATATTCTGACGCTGTATTTCATCTCATTGTACGACAACCACATTTGTAGCCCAAGTTTTATTTAACTATCAATAAAAGAACCACCACAATCTACACGCATACAAAATAGATAGTATCAAATTTACCCTGTCGTCCCTCATAATGAACACTTACCATCGGGAAATACTTGTCGCATTTTCAGGTATGAAGTCGTCAGTCTTATAACCGATGCCTTATCTAACTGTGAGGTGATTGCGGCGGGTAGCGGTAGCAATTTCGCCAATTCCAAAAATTCGGCATTTTCTTTTTCTCGACGCGATCTCGCCGCGTTTTTGCTCTTCTCCTTCATAGCACCGCGCAATTTTGAAACAACTGCAAAAGAAAACAAACGCCGAATTATTATCCGCGAAACAATCTCGAGCGTACCAATATTTAAATGTTAAAGTGCGCACTTGATATGTAAATATGAGTCCTCTTTAAGGATGGCAAATGAGACACTTGAATATATCACGGCCGCCATTTTCCGCTCTTCATTTTTGCATATTAGAAGCGAAACAATCATAAATTGTATAGGTGGGTACCTACGGTGGAGTAGCAAAGTATCTCCTCCTATTTTAATAACGAAAAATAATTAAGCATGCTTTAATTTTAGAATAGTTATATGGTGTAAAGTCGCAGTACTCCCGCGAGTGGCCAAAGCGTACTTTGCACACTGAAATTGCATATGATGACACATTGTTCGCGAGGTGGCTATGGTAAAGATGAATTGTTGCATAGCAATAACAAACAAAAGTACCCATGTTATTAATCAGTCCATGATTCTATGTAGAATTGAAATAATAATTTTGAGCAAATATGTAATTAAAATAGTTTAATAAAGTTAGTACCTGCTTTTATGTATAACACTTCTATACTTTTCATAGTAAGGGATGTTCTTTCTATACACTTTCGATGCACTCACTTCACTCTCAGCCACCAGATATTACTACTCATTCATAAACGTAAAAGTTTACTACAATGAAATCAACATCGTCCAGTTATTTTTTGAACCTAGCGGTACAACCGAACGAAAGAGAGAGGTGAATAGACATACGTCTTTTTCCAATACCCTTTAAATGACGGTAGTGATCATAGGTCCACAGGTGGATGTATTTAACTTACCGCCCGCTAGTCGATACCTTTAGTTAAGGTGCCCATTTTATTGTTATTGCTGTCATTGCAGGGGTGTGAGAAACTTGCAGATGTCATTCTCTCAAATGATAAAATTTAAATTTTGCCAGGTTGTATAAATATTTTTGGGGATATACTATACATTCGTCGTTCAGGTATTTAGGAGCCGTCGGTGGATGATTTTTAAAGCGGCTTAAGGAAATTGTGAAAAAGATTATAAATCAATAACCGGTAAAGACTTCTAGTTACACGAGCGGTATGCTTTTCAATAAATTAGACATTTTGTATCTTACCAGTTCGCCGCAGACTCAGAATCTGTCAATTTCTAAAAATAACTCTTGCGCTTTTACCGTATTTAGTGAAAATTTGACGAATCCATATAACAGAATCATTTTATTGCATCAGAAATGTGTAGAGGATGTTATCTACGAAGTTGCATCTTATGTTGCAAGCGGCGGAGTGCCGCAGGGATCCAATCTCCGGCCTTTATTGTTCTCACCATTTATCAGATCACCTAATCATCGCTTGTCATTGCCCTTTTTAATTGATTTTATACGCCTCTGCCAATTGGAAGATTTAAATCGTTACCGGTAAGTAAAATAATCAACAGTAATATCCCAAGTGCATAAAGATAGCCGATTAAATTTTGACGTTTTCGTCGAAAGTTTTGCTTAGAAATACGTCGAGTCAATTTGCCACGTAACAAATTTTGGGTGGAAAATTGTCATGTATTAAGGTTAGGCATCGTAAATTCCAAATTAAAAAACTGACCACGTTAATATGATGGTACGATTTTACAAATTTGTTGATATAAATGGAGGTAAGGGAATTTGTTTGTCAAAGTTGGTAACATGGTTCCAAAAAACCATGTTACCACTCCGAATTCCGACGTTTAAGGGGTCACAATTACATATTTATTTCGGTCCAGTAGATCACAGTTTTTAGGATATTGGACAAAGTTCATTTCTTCATAAAAAAGGAATACAAAAAAAATAATCTTTTTGATTGTTAAAAAAAAAGTGCTAAAAAAAATTACTCTACTTTCAAAATCTGATAAAACTACATTATTCCAAAAAAAAAACAAATTGATTATAAAAAACAAAAGAGCAATCAGAAAACCTAGAACTGTTACTTTTTTCTGCAAATATCCTGAAGAGCTTGAAATTTTATTTATAATCGATACCAAAATACCAAATCAGTTATAATTACTTTACAAAAACAAGCTACAGTTAATGCGTTTAAAAACCAATAGCAGTAACTGTGCGACAAAAACAAAAGAGAGTTTTTCACTATCATATCTGTCACAAAACTAGTTACAATCCACAATGCAACAAAATAACAATTACACAAATGATAAAAAATGTTAAGGGTTTTTATTCGATGTAATGATAATGCATAGGAAGCAATAGTGTAATCTATTTAAATTTGTCTTAAGTTATAATAGTTATCTTTGACACTGTTTCTCATTTGTTTTCTTCGCTTCCTTTTTGTTTAAATTTCTACAGCTACTGCGACTGGTATTAAACACATTACTGTAGTTTTAATTTCAAAGGTTATAACATATTTGATTTCATTCTAAAGAGAATTTCAAGCTCTTTAAGAATATTACAGACAAAAGTAACCGTTCTATTTAAAACAAGTGTAAATTGTGAACAACTCATGTGGAGATAAAGCGCATTTTTTAAACCGAAATAGCTTAGTAAATTGTTGAGTTATAAGGTAGTGGCATGCTATCGTTGTTTACTTTCTTGGTAGGTGATAAATGGGGCGGAGGCTCTTTACACATAAGGATAAAGAAAAGAATATTAATGGATTTAGCATGGCACAAATCTAAAGACTCTATGGAAAGCTTTTCAGCGTGTTGGTGCATCAGGAACGTGATGTGCCCCCTAAATAAAGAAAGTACTTTTCACCAAAAATCGACTGCACCAAAATTTCTCGGGAAAACACTTTTTCTTATTAATTTTGGTGCGTAGAATCCAAAACAATTCGTACTGTTTCGATCGGACGTCTCAATCAAAAGTTATGGACTAGAATATGGTGGTATTTTAATTTGTATCTCGATGGGTGTAATAAATATAATAATAATAATAAAAAAAATAAACATTTTAAGGCCGCTTGGTAGGTATACATTCAAAATCCTCCGACACTCCATTGTGCAGATATTTGCATTGAAAGCTTTGACATCACCAATAGATATGTCTCGTCCTGACGTTCCACTTTCCCCTTGCGAGTACCCTCTTTCGACAATCCGTCCTGGAGATATAAGGGAATATATTCGATCACGACAGGGGGTCGAGGAGGACTATGGTTAGTATAAATGGAGGAATGATGGTGGAAAGATGTTGGAGGCAGACGTATTTGAAAGAATTGTGTTCTTATAGTAAAAGAGAGTCAGTTTTTGTCATATAAAAAGTCGCATAAAAAAAATCGGTTATTAAGAAAATTTATGAACTTTTCAAATTTGAACAATAAAAAGTTGAGCAAATACAATCGGTTAGATTTATTTCCAACATACTTAAAATTTGAGCCCGTAACTTCTACATGATCAAGGTGGATATACAGAGTGGCCCAACGAGAAGTATACAGAGGGCTTTTAGGGTATTAAATTTAGAAATTTCGAAAAATCCTCGAACACGTCGATTTTGTATTCGAAGGGGACAACTTTTGGAATGCAAATCACGAATCCAAGTCTTCACCCCTCTACGTAGGGAGCTTAATCCCTAAAATTTTAAATGGAATCCTATGGCAAATGGCACATTATTTGAAAGCCAATTTAATCGTGATTACTAATCTGCTTTGCTTTTCAAATTCTATTGATTCGTTTCGGAGATATTCGCATTTGAAATGGTTTTTTCCCCTGATTTAAGTCCTTTATATTACTTCTTGTGGGGATATTTAAAGAACAAAGTTTATGCTACTCCGCGGTGTTAATTAATTTAATAAATTATTTCGTTTGGTCATGTTTTTCATGTTGTTATAAATAATCTTTAATAATAAAAAATCCATTAAATCCATTAAAAAAATGTGACCTTTTAATTTTGTAAACGCACGGCACTGTAAATAATTTTTAAGCATAGATTTACATATAAATTTGTAATGATTTTTGATACAATATTTGTGTTTGTTAGTTACATTTTCACGTTTGTTGGTTGACCGGTATTTAATTATTCAAATTTCAAAATTTGAGCTATAGTTAGCCCCCCCCCCTTTTTGAATTTTCAAAGTATTTTTATTTCAATCGTTTGTTGGTGTTTGATAGTTACATTTTCAGGTTTGTTGGTTGACCGGTATTTAATTATTCAAAATTCAAATATTTGGGCGTATAGTTAGCCCCCCACTTTTTGAATGTTCAAAATATTTTTATTGCAAGTGTTTGTTGGTCGTTAGTTGGTGTTTGTTAGTTACGTTTGTTGGTCGATCGTTATTGAATTATTCAAATTTCAAAATTTGGGCGTATAGCTAACCCCCCACTTTGTGAATTTTCGGGTCGGACAACACCCAGTTAGCCCCCCCCCCTCCCCACAACCTCCCCAATCCACAAAATCCACCACATTGTTATTGGCATATGTCACGGCCCATCAGCACAATGGCAACAAAAGTGGTGGAGATGCACCCCTGTTAGTCCCTACCACGGACCCATCAAGTATCAGTATCAATCCCATTCAAATCTGATGCTTTGTTGTCTTTATGCCGACAATCGTTAACGACAAATCAAACCACCTTCAGAATTACGCGAATTAAATCTACGCAAATGTGACGAAGTAAAATGAATAAAATTTGGGGGTGCGAAAACGTGAAAAATTCAATAGCGCTTGCAGCTGGAGTACGCGCTAACGCATAACATAAACCGCTTAACATCTCATTCACCCTTCGACCTGATGATCTAGAATCTTAATTTGCTGCTTTACAAAGTCTTTAAATACAATAACAAAATATTACCGCGCGACACCCGAAAGATTATGTACGAATGTTAGTAAATTTCAGGGCGATAGGTAACAATTTTTACATAAGGTAAAGTCACGTTTGAACGTGAATAATAATTTAAACTGCTCATTTCTCGGCGGAAAATATAACACATTTAAATGTTTACAGTCATTTTGCAACATTGTTGAGTGTATTAGTATTTTAATTTTGATACAGGAAAATGGATGTTGGTGCAAATAATCCATACCGCCTTACAGGCACGTCGTACGATCAAC